CCTAACCAAAATACTGGCAGCAAGGTAAATGTAATAGCCCTGCAGGTCACTTGTGCTGCAAAACTTGCCCCTAGACCAGATTAATACTCCAACAACAGTCCCAGGCTGCTACGCTCTTTACTGTTAAACAAATGTTTTAAAATCTGTTAACCGTACAAAATCAAAACATCTTACCAGATTAAAAATTAGAAAACCCATTAAACTAGTGAAATAATGCACGTTTCAAAGAAGAGTGATTCCCAGCTCTTTTGTCTTCTGAGGTTCTATGGTGATTGCATGAAGCCTATGTTAGTTAGGATATTTTACTAGTAAGATTCTGAAATTGCTATTTTGTGTGTGTACAGTATGCTTTGGGATAAAATAAGAAACAATAAATATTAGTGGAGTAATCATTTGTAAACGTCTTTTTAACAGTTCTGTCTGGGTTCGTTTGCTAAGTTGAATTCCTTTAAACAAAATATTTCAATGCAGTCATTTGTAAATTTGCACGTATAGCCGACATTCCTTATTTTATACTGATGGGAGGGAAGGACTGTATCAAAACCCAGCAATTTAAAAGAGGTGCTAGAAGCTGTGGAGAAGTGCAACAACCTGAGCCTGTGTAATAGAAAGAGGTGGAAGGGAGTCCTGAGGTGTCTGAATGAAAGGAAGTACTAAAGTACTAAAGGGGTTTTATTTTTGTACATAGTATTTGATATAAATACTGACTATTCAGTTCTAGTGTATGACATTTAAAAAGAAAGATAAAAGGCCGAAGGGGCACAGGAATGGTACTGAGATTGGAGAAAAGGCTTTAAAGGAAGAGAGGAAAGCCCTTTTTCATTTTAGCGTGGTTCGATTTTGTGGGATGACTTGGCTACAAATAATAAAGTTTATGTCGAGAATATATATAGTGTTACATAAATCTTTAATGTGTTAGATGAAGCTAGGCTGTTGGATGAAGCTGTTGGAGAGAATTTGGAGCCAGACCAATTAAAGTTAGGAGCTAGAGACTTTTTAAAACTGGAAGATGAACATGTCAGCAGGGGAGCAAAAACGAATTTAAAAAAATAAAATAAACACATTTTTAAAAACAGTAATTTCAGATCAAGACAGCAGCTGCGGGGTGAGGGGTTGGTATGGTTTTGGCCAAAAGTATGAGTTTCTAGAGTAACTGACTTGCGATTTTAAAAAGTAACTAAGTGGTTTCTCTGGCTGTGAATTTACTTAGGATACTCAGTGAGTAACAAAGTAGTTTCTTTACACTGATTTAATTAAGAGTTCTCTGCCTGCAAAATTGTTAATACTGCAGAGTTTCCAAAGTTACGAAAAGAGCTTGCCTGCAAATGCTTAAAATAAATGTTTCAAGTAGAGAGCAACCACAGGAAGGAAGATCATCCTTTTAGTGAGTAAATGAAATTAAAACACCTTTGTTTCATTTTGTTTTTAAATCAATTCTTCTAAGTCTTTTGTAGAGAAACATCATGGAGAAACTAGGCATTGCTCAGACTAGCACTGCACACTTTTGCAAGTGTGGCCAAGGTGCTTTCAAAAGCTTGTCTGATATCTATAAAATTTAGCACAGCGCATTCCTTCAGTGCAGCGTTCCTCGTCTGCTACTCGGACGCTGGGGCAAGGACGCAGCGCTTGGGCCAAGGGAGGCAAGACAGCATCGCTTGTCTGGTTCCTTATTTGCAGCTTGGAGGGCAGAAACAAGTGTGCTACTATTGCTGCGGTCACCTGAGGTGCCCTGCTGAGGTGCGCTAGCCACCAAGGACGGTGCCGGTGAACGCTGGAGAGGGGCCAACGGGTGGTACCTTTTTCCAGCGGTGCCCTTGTTTGCCCAGCACACACACTGCCTACACCCTGATCTCTGCTGCCTGCCATATGTTGACATTTCTGCTTTACACAATGGATGCAAACTGCTCTTTGGTTAATTCAATAGTGGGTTGTTTTTTTTTTTTTTTTTTCATTTCACTTGTAAAAGATAAATGTAGACCTATTATTTCCATCTCTCTCTGAACTTCAGGAAGCCAGGAAAATAAATCTTAAATTATTAATTCAGTGAAAGCTTCCAGACCTTTACTTTATGCTGTTGGATAGGTTTTTGTAAGTCATGTGAGATGACTGGGGCCATGACAAAGCAGAGTTAGAAAAAGACATTGAAAGAAAATACATACAAATGATTCAAAGGCCTTGATAAACCTGTGACTGGGTTAAAGAGTATTATTTGGTCATGTCACGTTTGTGTGGTTGGTGTTACATTAACTATGGGGATATTTACCTTTCTTTAATCCTGAGGAAAAATAATAGAGAGGATTATGAACTTGTAAGGGCTTCATTCTTTCTGATACTGAAAATCTTAAAAGTTGTATCAACATTTGATATACAGAAGTGTCTCAATTAGTATAGAATGTGGGGGGAAGCTAAACTTTCAGAACTATCTGAAAAATAGTTTGCTACTATCTTAAAAATAGTTTGCTATCTATTGACATGGGTTTCAACTTCTTCATCTACAGACTTAATTATCTGAGTTCTCTTTGATTTGTTATCGTTCTTTAGCTGCTTCTGGGTTTAGACACATGCAATGGGTATGATAAACCCAGTATTTGTTCACCTTTATAATAGTTCTGTAGTACCATGGTGGAAATGTGGCATGTTGGGGCATTGTGTGATAGGTGATACCCTGACTTTTTACCATCTTCTTACAGGAAAGTCACTTCTCCATCTTCTCAGGAAATATTTTTCTAGTTATTTTCCTTCAGCTTATTCAGCAATATACGATGTTTATATAGGGTGGAACATTTCTCACGTTGCTGCTTTATAGATAAGATTACAATTATTTGTGCAGTTTATCTAAAGGCATAGTACAGATAACATGAATTCACCTACAATGGGTGTTTCCTTATAAAAAAGGGGGAGGGAGGAATTCTAGTTAAAAGGGAATTCTGATTTGCAAGTGCTCTCTGGAGCTTTTAGTATCTGCTGCAAAATGTCAGTTCTCATAACAGTATTTTGAACAGACAACACGTAAAATTATATGAATTTGTAAGATTCAAAAAAGTATCAGTATTTCAGTATCTGAAACCTTTTCCCCCTTGCTTTGAATACACAGTGAAAGGCTTATACATCAGTTGATGAACAAATAGAACTATTTCAGAATATTAAATGCGCATTTTCCTGAAAGCACCTTCTTTTTTAAAATCTTTTTTTTTTATTTAGGGACACTGGAATTGTACATAAATGATAGTGTTTTCTTAGGCAATTAAGTGGGTTTCTTTGGAAAGTGAAAATGGTCTGACTTGTGAATTGGTACCTGTATTATTTCAAGTTACACTTTCAGAGTAGGCAAATGCTTTTTGCCTGGGCAATGTTGAATTCAAGTTTTCAGAGGCTGTAATGGTTGCCAGAGATTGTGTCCTTTTGAACACCAAATACAGCTGCACTCATAGCTGAAAATGCCAGAAATTGTCTCGTGTTTTCAAGATTATGATTAGGCCAAGAGAAATAAGCTGCCAGTTTGAATCTTGGACTTGGTACCTGCAATCCCAGTTTGTATCTGTTTAACACGTAGCCTGTCTGTTGCAGCCTTGCGAGTGTTAAATGCCAGGCAATATTGACTTTTTAATTTTTTGTCAACAGCCTGACAGCATGGGTGTTGTCTCTTACCAAACTACTGAGCAGTTATTTTCTGTTAAGTGAGGCACAACCTGTTGAGAGCAGTACTGGCTATGAGTACCGCTGACACCTCCTTTTACATCCCACACCAGACAAATTAACAGCTCTTCTAGCTTACTACTTGACTTAATTTGCTCCATAAAAGCTCTTTGTTTGCTTACTGCAATCTAATATGAGCTGTTAACTCCTTACCTTGAGTGCTTTTTCTGCTTTCCTCATCAAAATGAAGTGAAAAGTAGTTTAAAATTTCTTTAAGTAGCTTATCACGCATTTATATATCTTACCGCTTTGTAGTATGCCCTTAAAGCTGTTACTGTGGCACTTAGCTTACCGGGAATCATTGACCTTCAGAGCCAGTACATGAGACTTAGTCTTTTTGGTTTTTTCTTTTTTTTTTTCCTTCTTTTTTTTCCCCCTCCTTCCCCTTTTCATTTTTTTACTTTCCAAGATACCCTAGCAAGAGACTATAAAAGTTTTATTTCTTGTAACTGTATAATTTGGTACTCTCAACAGTGACTAGTAAGAATTACTGTTACGTTACTATTACAGTTCATAGAATCATAGAACCATTTAGGTTGGAAAAGACCTTTAAGATCATCGAGTCCAATCATAAACCTAACACTGCCAAGTCCAACACTAAACCATGTCCCTAAGTGCCATGAGTGTTTTGTTTTCGTAATGCTTTAATTCTGACTAAATTACTTTGTCAGGAATATAACCTAATTTTGCTTTTAACGGAGCAGTATGTCTTATGGTACTGGTAGCAATGAAACATTGTGATACTTAAATTCTAGTAATATTGTATCTTTTCTGTTCCTTACAAAGTTATTCCAAATGTAAAGCAAGTTATTATTGACATTGTCCTTTTCCTTGACTAGGTTTTCCAGCTATTTTTCATTGCAATTCAGGGAAAGTGCAGATCGGAAATGCATTGAACAATTGTCTCTGCCTTTGTGAGGCATTTTAAAATTAATCCTTGTAGCCTACAATAACTGCCTTATATGAACATGAATGTGCTTCTTAATTCAGATGGGAATGGTTTTCCTTCTAAGTTACGCTTGGCACCCACCACCAGCTATATCCGTTGAGCACACTGCTGTAGGCCCTGCTGTTAGGGAGAGGTGTCTGACGTTTTCTGTCAGTCTTCAATGTTACTACTATTAAACTACCAAATTAATTTTAGATCTGTATTCTTCACGTCTTCAGAAAGGGTTCTAGCTGAAAAATAATGCAGATACTGACATTAAAAGTTCTTTGTTTGTTCTGTAATACAACTGAGGAAGAAGGACTCTGATAACAGTTGCATTATGAATTCATGTTTCTTTTTATTCTTTTTTTTTACAGGAAAAGCTCTTGTCCAGATCTCTTCAAAGAGGTGAAGATCTTCAGTTTGATCAGGTAGGAGACACGTAATTGAAGGCAGTTTTTATTGGATTAAGGTGGCCTCTGGTTTTGCAGAATACTGGTTCCACTGTTGTAATGACTTGGAATATCCATGTCTGAATCAGCATCAGAAGATTTAGACCTTGAATGTTAGTTAGACTTTATTTTCCATCATAGATTGTGATAGTAAGAAACTACTAGAATAGATGAATTATTTGAAGGTGGCAATGAAAGCTGCTGTAGGAAAGATGCTGAAATATGGTAGGAGACAAAAAGACTTAATTTATTTCTATTCCTTTTAACAGGCTTTGTGTAACCTCAGCCTATATCACTTATTGTTTCAGTGTTTGGGGTTCTGCTTTTATAAGCAAATAGTGTTAATTTCAGTAACATGGCTTTTGCTGAGGGCTTTTTGATTCTATGGCAGAAGGCATAAGGTAGATTCAAAATGATACTTTGTCCTTTGCTGAGTCTATAGTTGCACTGTGAGGCTGTTTCACTTACTATAAGTGAACCGTACCTGGAATAAGTGTCTGCTCTATTTATTCATGTTTATCGTCTGTATCTCTAATTGTTTCATAGTATAGGCATGTTTTTGTCCTGTAACTACTTCCTTGCAATGGAGAGGCAGCATTCAGGTGAAGCCCCATTAATTGCCTGTTCCTGTTCTTAACTGTTACTGAATAGTATCTTACTGTATGAAGTTTAGTGTTCATATCTTCTGTAACTGGAGTTTTGTTTCATGCTTTCCATTACTCCTTGGATATAGGCATTAGACATTGCAGTGAAATCTGTGGACCTGCTCCTACTTGTCGATTAATAGCCATCCATGCACCTCTTCCCTCCTCCCAAAAGAGAAACAAATAATAGCTTGTAATATTTGATGTATAGTTTTCTTTTCAAAGAAAAACAAAACCACAACCAAAACCCTCCCATAGCCTTTTAATGTTTTCTAATCTAACCTTCTATAAGGCCATTATCTCCTAAATGAAAGTTTACTCGTAAGCAAGGAAAATGGGTGAGGTGGGATAGGGCATAAATTCTTTGGTAGCTACAGTATTTTGTTTTAAAGCTGACCAAACGCTAAATAATATGCACGGTAGGGATGATCTAAGGAAATCAGTAAATCAGTAATATTACTAATTTTTCTACTAACTTTGTCCCCCCCCTCCTGCCCTCACATTTTTCCTCAGTTAAGGATGTTTTTTAGAAATTGTTAGTAGTCATGTATTGAACTACATATAGATTCTAAAAATAAGCTGAGTGAAGAAAAGTAAAAATTAAAGCATAGAACATTTGAAATCTTGTAATATAGAAATAAACTCATTTTCCTGAAAATGTAGTACTTTAAGAATAATTCGGTTTGATTGTGTGTGTGTATGTGTGTGAGTTCTTATGTTGTTCTTTTATTATTTGTAAACTACTTTGGGTTCATCGAGATCTGAATTTTAATGGTACTGAAAAACTACTTTAGAAAGTCGGAGCAGAATGGCTCCCTTGTGGTGACGGGAACTGTGAATTTTGATAGGGAATTTTGAACATTGTTTGGCAAAAGGGATTAAGATTGATTTTCTCTTCATTGCTGGGTGTAGGAAACATATATTAAGATTAATTCTCCAGGAGTGCAGAAGACTGCAGAGTAAAAAGAGACTGGCAAAGTATGGGAGAGAGGGGGATCCAGAGTGCACGGCCACAGCATCCAGTGACACAGCAGAGAAGCTAAAGCTGTCGCTGGGCCAACCTGGCTCGCCCAGAGATGTTTACAGAGTTAGGAATTTGGGTCTAAAAAGTGGCTTTAGCTGTACTGATGTTGTGTCTGAGCTAGTAAGTGTTGTACTTTGTGAATAAAAGGAGTATGGCTGAAACACAAGAGAGACTCTGGGAGTAGGAAGGTATCTAGTTAACACTCAACCTCTCAGCTCAGTAAGTGATGAGAAGAGGGATGGAGGAGGAAGGTGTGTAGTGTTGTCCGTCCCTATCATGAAAAAGTAAAATGGCTGTTTAGTGGGATTATAAGTTGTTTCTATTGGAAGCAAAACCAGACTAAGAGGGCTGCTAGTAGATACGAGTGTGCAAAATCGATAGTTTTCAATTTTCAAATACTACAATTCTTTTATTTGTCATTGAGGTTTTAATTGGAACAAAAATGTAAATTGAGCCAGAAGAGATGAAACTTTGGAAAATGAGAAGGAAGTTTTTATGTTGATACACTTCTAAACTGTTAAATATTTTAGTGTTTTAGTACCAGTGCTTTCCTTTTATGATTCCCAGCACATCAAGAAGCTACCGGAGAGGAATTTTTTTATAGAGCATATATTGCATTTCTTAAAATACTTTTGCTTGTACAGCTTGAAACTGAAATAGCTTGTATTTTTCTTCTTTTGTTTGTGGTAGGAATCAAGCTTGGCAATTTCCTACTCTTGTCCTAAGACACCAAAACTTTATGATCACACAGAAGCATATCTTGGCCCTCTCGGTGACTTTGCTGAAAGCAGATGTGTCCCTGAGGTTCAGGCTTATTCATGATTCAGCACAACTCGAGCAATGTTTTCAGGATCAGAATTTTGGCCATAGCCGGAATTTGGGCTCTGGCATCTTACTATAATTTTCCATCTCTTTCTCCTTACCTCTCAATGTGCTGTGGGTATGTTAAGTGCAGCAATTAGCAATGTGTTACGGCCTTTAAGACTGGAGCACGCTTTGCTGTTTCATTCCGAGGAATATAAGTAGACGTCATGATGACTAGTCCAGCTCTGTGCTCTTGGGCGTTACAGGATCTCTCTTTGTCTGGATTGCTGCTTTCAACCTAGGCATACTTTAATGCTACAATAAAAGGGTTTTCTTATAACTTTCATATAAGATGATCTTGAATTTATATCCAAGCAGTATGATATTCTTTTAAATAAAAAGAATAAGCATATAGCTCATGGCCTGCTTAGCAGCTCTGTAATGTGAGCAAAGGTTTCATCTTCCTGATAATTCCAATGCCTTTTCATTAAAGTGTTAAGGATGCGAAACTTGGCAGGAAATAAGTAAGTATAATGTAAAACAGATTTTTCATTTCAAGAGGAAAATGCTTTGTAACGCCAGTAGTTTCTAGGTTTAGCACTTTACCAATGACAATTTTTTTAATGTGTGATACAGCTCCTTTTTGTGGAAGATGATGTAAATTGCCCAACTGCTGGAACGTTTATGAGTGCTGGTAATATTAATATACTGTGTAAACTGGCAGGAAAACATAAGGAAAATGTTTAGTAAAGCTTAAAATGCAGCTTCCTTCTTTTTCTTCTACTAATAAACCCATCAGTTTGGAAGGTGGGCAGAGGAGTAGAAGTGCTTTGTGGGGGCATTTTACATTGACAGCACAGAGTAACTTAAGTGTTGGCTTAATCTGTTCTGGTCCTGTTGTGTGTGTAGTTGCTGTATGAACGTAGCTCTGTGCAACGTATTGGATATGTCATTATTTTTAGAGAAAGAGAACTTGTTATTTTTAGGAAAAGAGAAACTAATGTATTTCCCCAGGGTTTAGGTTATTTGGGGTGTGGAAATTGACAGTAAATTCTGAAGGCAAAACACATTTTGGATTCCTGTGGTTGGTGATAGATCCCTTCTTCAGCAAGTTTAGCTTTAGCTTTCATTCTAAGGATTACCAGTTACACTGATGATTTTGTGCTGATTCTCATATAAATACTCATGATTTATGCTGAGTCTTCAGTTTAGTAATGCATGAGGACGGTTCATTCTTTATGTTTGCTGAATCTTTTTTTTTCCAAAATATTGGAAAAATTTTCACTTATGATTTGCGCTCATGGCTGGAGAATGCTAGTGAGGTCAACAGATGTTTGAGTACCCCAGGCTGATGCAAGCAGCAGGTATTTCTTGCTAGTGAAATCTCAGTGAAGATTTTTCAAAGCTTTATCAATACAAATTAGTCTTTTGAGTTCTTTTTTTTTTTCCTGATGCTTCCTCTTACTGAAGGGTGATAGTTTTAGTATTAGCCCAGAAGTGTCTCCAATTTCCGCATAATTTTTCTTTCCTTTTCTCCTTCTCATCTTCACAAGTTTTTGCTATTTTTTTTTTTCCCAAGGAAGTTTGTCAGACCTCTGCCACATCAGAAATTCTCTTGAGCAACATCTTAATTTGTACGTGTTCCATTTCATCATGCACTGCTTCATTTCAGATCACAGTATAACTTGACAGTGGTAAAATTGAGCTGTTTTTATTGTCTGCTTCTAGAAATCTGATGTATGCTGGTTGGTTGACTGGGTATTTATTTTGTATGGATATCAGAGCACAAGGAACAAGCTTACAACATGCTTGGTTTCCAAAGCAAGTTAGAAAGATTTCAACGTATATTAATATAAGAATGAAGCTATTCTCAAAATTTAGCGTTTGTTCCAAGATGCAAGGCATTATAGCAAGCCTACACAGTATTTCTAGCTTCTGTTTCTTTTCTGTGTTTAAAATACTTTGTATGTTTTTGTGTTGCCTGCAATAACTGCCTTCATCTTTTTTTGCAGTTAGCTCAACGTCGGTGCCTCTCCTGCGGCACACATGCCTAGTTTTTCCACTGAATCCATTGTTAGTGAGTGTGCTATGGACAGACATAATAAGTGTCCTGTTGACAGACATAACAAGAAAAACATAATCTCATTATTCTAATTAAAATTTCTTAGTGAAACCTAGTTTCTCTTCAGGTTTGGAATATATGCAGTTTGTATTGCATATTGGGATGTAATGTTTTATGAACTCACAGAATAAGAATATGATTTTAATTATTTTCAGGAAGTTTCTCCACTTGTTTCTATAATTCAGGGATTTTTCAGAGTGCCAAGAATACTGCTTATTTCTTGTGACTTGAATAGCTGACCAGTGAACAAGCTGAGTCAGATGGTTGAAAGAGATCCTTCTGATGTTTCCTTATGGTTAACCTGCCCCCATCCCTTCTCCAAACCTGAAAAAACAAGATGCTTCAAATGAGGACAAAGAAACAATGGCATTGATGTGATCTTGGTTTTCCGGAATAGTGAATAATAGATAAGTTATCGCATGAGGGTAGCTTCTATTGAAACTTTCTGAAAGATGGAAGAGGTAATGAGTATGTGGCATCAGTGAGCAATATGGTAACTCTCCTTTTCCAGACAGCGTTTTGGGGATGTGCTTGCTCCCTGCTGCCTTCCAGCAGGGAGTTTATAGCTACTTTCTGCTGTCTTTCTCCAGTCATTCTTCTCTCCCAGCCTGGGCACTGATGAGCTCTGTTTAAGTTAAAGGAAGCCTCAGGAGTTTAAGTTTCATACCATGTTAAGGTTTTCATTCTATAATGGTTCCTATTGCCACCTTTTCACAGATAAGTTTACAACTCATATGGGTTTTCTGAAAGAGGGCAGTAGACAGGGGAGTTATGTTTAAAATAAATACAGCTTGAGATCTAGACAGTCAAATGTATTAAGAGTAGAGTAGAATATCTAAAAAGCTCTTATTTTTGTTTGTATAATAACCAAAGACGCATGTTTTGGAAGGTTTAGGAGGATTATCTCTTATCTGTCATTTGTAATGTAAAGGTACATATATTTCAGAGATACATACGGCAACGTTCAGGGACATCCTAAAATCCCTGCTGTTTCTCAATGGTTTTTATACAGGTTATCTGTATAAATTTAGGATTCTCTGATCCCTGTGAGCTTTGGAACACTTTGATTAAATTTGTCATAATAATTGACTTAGAGTAGTCATATTTACAGTAATTGTCCTAGATGAAAATGATACATAAAGTTGCCATTGTGTAAAATTACACGTTACACAGTTTTTAATGTTAAATACGAATCTGAAAGAATGGTTATAATTCTAGGATTTTTAGATTGCTTTATCATGCTAAACTATTTTTCTTGATTTTTTTCAGTTGATAAGCTCTATGAGCTCAGTAGCAGAGCACTGTCTCCCCTCCTTATTACGCACCTTGTTTGACTGGTACAGGCGTCAAAATGGAGCAGAAGATGAATCTTATGAATATAGACCTCGATCTAGCACAAAATCAAAGGGGTAAGAGTTTTCCTTGGAAAGGTCTGATTGACTTTTGTGTGCTTTCTTGTAAGAAGATGTGTGCTTTGTACTTCTTTGACAAGTATTTTGTATTTGGATCTGTCATTACCTAAATCTGTGTAGAGAGAGCATGGGCTTCCTTGAGTTAGTATATGTAACTTGCGTAGACGATATGCATGAAGCGACTTTGGGGTGATTTCGAAGCAATTTTGGGGTCAATATACAGAAGGAAGTTGAGCGCTGATAATTCCAAGCTAGTTTGTCCTCTTTTTGAATTGTTTTGGTTGTTGGCAGGTCCTTTTAGTAGGGGGCAAGATGTCAGTGCTGCACCAAACCCCGAAGTGCTTCTAACCATCCATTTTATATACGTGTGCAACAATGATTGCATGAAAGACATGTGTAGCCCTTCTCTGCGATATTTGTGTTCAGTCTTGTTTATGATATGTGTGTTCTTGATTTCTTATTTTAGGGATGACCAACAACGTGAAAGAGATTATCTACTTGAAAGGAGGGACTTAGCTGTAGATTTCATTTTTTGTTTAGTTTTAATAGAGGTTCTAAAACAGGTAAGCTCTTTTGCTTTGGCAAACTTTTAATCTTTGGCTTTTAATGTCAGTTTTGATCATCGCCTTTAAATTTTTATATTAACTGGAGCATATATATGATGAGCATATGCAAGGTTGTAATTATGCTCTCAGTTGCATAAAGCCCTTGGCCTCTCCTGTCTTTTCTTTGCATGCCTGTGTTATCTCAGTTCACGTTTTGGATCCTCTGAGTCAAAGCTGCTGATGTACTGCAAAAAGCAAAACTCTAAAAAGTAACATTTTATTTATGTTAAGTGCCTTTTGTCTGCTTAAACATTTTTGAAATGCAATGTGAAATCATTGAATGACAAGATTAAAATGTAACTTTTAAAAGAAATTAGAAAGGGTATGTAATCTTGGTTTGCCTTATAATGTAGTGCTAGATGATGTTACATGCACAATTTCTATTAATATAAAATTTGCCTTGGTATATGGTGTTGTGGTTTAACCTGAGCCAGCAACTAAGCACCATGCAGCCACTCACTCAGACACACACACACTCAGACACACACACACACACACACACGAGAACCAGAAGGGTAAAAGCAAGAAAACTCATGGGTTGAGATAAGAACAGTTTAATAATTGAAATAAAATATAGTAGTAGTAATAATAATAATATAAAAAATGCAAAAATGGTGAAAAGGAAAACAACAAAAAGAGGAACAAAAC